TGAGATCCAAACCAGGACTGATCACGGCCTCTCTCTCTCTCACACACACACTTCCCATGAAACTTACTTTGCTGACAAGCAGAGAGAATAGAGACAGCAGCCAGCAGGATTGAATTCCCAGCCATCTTTCACGTAGATGTCCTGGTTCACGAACTGTGCACGGAAGACAAGGGGCCGGTAGAGACACTTTCTGAGTTTGCAATGCTGGCTTTCCTTATACGGTCATTACGTTTGAGGAAGGAGGAAAAAAAAAAAAAAGGCTGATTCAGACTGCCAAGTGACCTTTGCTCTAGAATAGCAATCAGGAAGGCAGGCAGGTCTGGGGCTGCCAGGCACACATGGGAGTCTGGCCCAGACCAGCGTTCCTGAACTTGCTTCCAGTCCCTTCCTCCAAGCTGCGGCCCAGGGCTCCCCCTGTGGGATCAGCCCTCCCACTATGGGATGAGCCTTCCCCCTGTGGGATGAGCCCTTCCCCTGTAGGATGAGCCCTCCCCCTGTGGGATCAGCCCTCTCCCTGTGGGATTAGCCCTCCCCCTGTGGGATCAGCCCTCCTCCTGTGAGATCAGCCCTCCCCCTGTAGGATCACCCTCCAGCAGCACCAGGAGTAAACTATAGGCCATTTCAAATTCTGAGATCCCTTTATTTCACACCCTCCACCCCTTCCCAAGTCTTACTGAGACTTTTCTCACCTGTAGAAAAGGGAGAAAGAAGCAATTATGTACTTATCCTATTGAGATTTGAAATGCTAATTTAAGCTGATTCTAACTTTATTCACCCAGTAAAGGGCAGACTCAAGATTTGAACTCATATCCAGCCCGTGCTAGACCCTGCACCATGCTCTCTCCCACTGTCACCTTGACTCTGCCCTGATCATACTGACCATGTAGTTAAGAAAAATAATAATCATCAAGAATACACATTCCGAGGAGGATGAGGGCCCACAAGGAAAGGAGTGGGTCAATGTTTTAAGTTAGACTTCTTGTGGAAAACCCAGCCAAATGGTCCCAACACTAGGCAGGGCCTCCCCCGATCAGAACAGCCACATACCACCCAAGTGCCCAGGCCAATCAAGGTCCTTCAACAGCTGAGGGCTTCTTCTGTAGAATCCATTCATCACAGTCCCACCCCTCTGTCAGCAGCACTATTGTTTTGCTCTTTTAAGATACCTATTTCTCTAAAAACAAAGTTAGAGATCCTCCCTTATTAAAGGGAGTGTCTTTGTCAGTTCTATCAGAGCTGTGTAACAAACATACCACAGTATGACTGATTTAAACAATAGAAAGTTATTCCTCACAGCTGTGAAGGCTAGGAAGTCCAAGGTCACAGTACTGACAAATTCAGCCCAAATCCTGATTGTGATAGCTTGAAAAACATGCTGGGTGCATGCATATGCATGATCCTTATTCCTAGCAGGTTGGAGAAATGGAAGAGAATGGATTTCAGCATGGCCATGCCCATTTGAAGGGTGCTTTCTCCTTCTTCCCTCTCTGTTTCTCTGTCTTTCACTGGAGAACTCACATACCCACTGGCAATTAAAAATTAATTAATTAAAGTGTGAGTTTATTTGGGTCAAAAATTTGTGAAATCTATGCCTACTTTTTTTTTTTTTGAAAGGTTTTTGCTATAGGGCGCGTGCACTCGCCAGACAGACAGAGAGAGACAGAGAGACAGAAAGCGAGAAATCACCCCACCAGGGGAGATGGCCACACCGCAATCCCTTCTCCTCCATTCTCCTCTTGGGATCTTGGGCATGTGCACACACGTGTCCGGCGTGAGTTTAAGCCACCGGGTTGGGGACTCGAACTGCGGTCGACTATATGGGAGTCCAGAGACATAGCCATTATGCTAACTGCTGGTCCCTATGCCTACATTTTTGAAGTCCTCTCACAAATAAGAAATAAGGAATGCTGAAATTAATTTATAAAGAGTCGCTATAGATGCTTTCTGGGTAGTTGATTTCATGGTGTGAGCCTTTGGTACTGGCAGAGATTCTAAACTGCAAACCAGTTGCCCTGAGCCCACATCACCACATACTAACATGGCTTCTCAAAAGGAGGAGTCTCCAAGGACAGGCCTGGGCTGGGTATGTGGCAGGCGGAGACTCTCCAAGGAAGGGAGCCTCTCAGAGAGAGAACAGAGTGAGTACTGAGCAGGCAGACAGGGTGACCACAACCCTGGGGTATTGGTAACTCCCGTTTTGAGAAACTCTTGGGTACACCCATTCTAGTGAACTAATTTTGAAACACACACACACACACACACACACCAAAAACAGGAACTCCAACTCCAGAATGACTGTCTTTGGCTCCTGGCTGAATTGCTGTTTTCCCACTTTTTGGACAAATCCCAAGATTCCCTACTGACTTCTCCCAGCCAGTTCCAATCAGCCCCCAAATCCACGTCTTTCGAGAGGGTTGATATAGGACCAGCAGGTGGCATGGTGCTTAAAGTGCTGGATCCAACTTTAGAAGCCAACTGTGTGCTTCTAGTCCCTGACCCAGCTGCTTGAAAAATATGCTGAGCAGGTGTGTGAGTGTGCCCAAAATGCCAAGAGGAGAGTAGAGGAGAAGGGATTGCAGCCATCCCCTCAGGGGGTAATATAAATGCCACTCTCTCTCTCTCTCTATCTCTCTCTATCTCTCTCTATCTATCTATCTATCTCTCACCAGCAAGTGCATTCATCCTGTGGGGAAAAATTAAAATTAAGGAAAAGGAACCAACAGATGGCATAATGGTTATGCCACTGGACTCTCACATGGCTGTCATGGTTTGAGTCCCAGTCCCGGCAGCTTGAAATTCAAACCAGGTGTGTGTGTGTGTGTGTGTGTGTGTGTGTGTGTGTATGTGTGTGTGCCCAAAATCCTGACAGGAAGGAGAAGGGATTGTGGTGTGACCATCACCCCCCCCGGGGGGGGGGTAGTGATTTCTTGCTTTTTCTCTCTCTGTGTCTCTATCTCTCCAGCAAGTGCATATACCCTATAGCAAAAATCTCTTTAAATAAAAAAGGAGAGAGAGAGAGAGAGAGAGGGTTGATACAAAGTTTTGTGGGGAGGGGAGGCTCAAGTGCTTTGAAACCTCTTGCATCTGCTTTAATAGATCTTGATTGTCTGCATAGATAGTGTCTGCCTCTAGGAAGGTATAAAACAACAGAGCTTTTGATAATGAAATGTTTATTGCCTTCCACAGTGATAAAATTTCCAGATGATCCCACGGTTGGAAAACTTCTGCAACATTAACAGAAACTAACAAATATTCGTCTCCCTGTGTATTTTCCCTGGATTGGTTGAGGAGGAAAGGCGTTTTCTCTGAATGTAATTCTTAGAGATCTTCCTAGTATGTGTTCCATAATTGACATTTTGGCAAGGAAAAAAAAAAAAAGAAAGAAAGAAAAACAGCATATTGGTAATGATAGTAAAATGTTATTAAAACATGAATATCTGTATAAACGTGAAGGAAATTGCTAAGCATTTCAAGAGGTTAGTTTGTTATTTAACCATTGTTTGATATCAAAATTAGGCCAAAACAAAGGCAAAACAGAGAGGCCAGAGTTTGGTGATATAAAAACAACCCCGAGACACGTGAAAGAACTGCTGTCATGAGATGTAAACTCTAAACAGAACTATTCCTGCCTATTTTGGGTAAAAGATTAAACGAAATGATAGGGACAGCAGGTGGCATGGAGGTTGAGGTGCTAGATCCAATGACTGACTCCACAGTTCACAACCTGGACCCAGCGGCTTGAAAATCACACCAGGAGCATGTGCATGGCATGCCCAAAATCCCAAATAGAGAAGAGGGGACTGTGGCATGGCCATGACCTTGGGGGTGGGTGTAGGGTGGCGGGGGGCGGGGGGGGAGTTCTCACTTTCTCACTTTCCCCCTCTCTCTCTTTCTCTGTTGGTCTCTCTCCAGCACATGCATGCACCCTATGGCAAAAATCTTAAAAGAAAAAAAGAGATGATAAACTACAGAAGTGTGCCCCTCAGAAAAATGGCCTCCCCTCAAATGAATCCCTGGCCCTCCCTCTTTCTCGTCGCTCCCTGTCCTACTGAGAGCAACGGCTTGCTGCGGAAAAACCTTGGCTTCTGCAGGACCTGCAGCAGGTCTATCCCTGATGCCCCTGGGCTGGGGGACAGAAAGGAGAAAACAACTTCCTTCCCAGGGATGCCCAGAAATAATCAGGGTAATCATGGTATCCATGGCAAAGCATTCTTTTACATTTTTTTTTAAGAATTATTTCATTTTCTTTATTCTTATTATCAATTTGCTATAGGGCATGTGTACCAGGATGTGCGCGGCTGTGGAAGCCCAAATGAGCACAGTGCTCCTGAAGTGGAGGAGGCGGGAGGAGGGGACCCCTGGGCCTCAGGCGTGTAGCCCGGGAGGAATGAGGTGCCTCTGGGGGGATGTGCCGGGCCTGGAGGGAAGTCTGAGGCTGAGCCACGGAAGAGGGGCCTCGAAGCACCAGCACAGATGGGCGTGGCTGACAATGTTCCAGCCCACTTCATTGCTAGCAACCGAGAATACCGGAGACTGGGTCTTCTAAGAGAATAGAGGTTTATTCAGCTCTCGGTTTGGAGGTCCGAGGGCCAGGGGCCACCTTGGGTGGCATCTTCTGGCTCCGTCTAATGTGGCGGAGGGTGGGCACGCGTGCTCTGTGTTCCTCCTAGACCCACCGGGAGTCAGCCATGGGCCCTAATGACTTCATCATGCCCAGAGCCCCACTTCTCCACACCGTGAAGGTATTGTTTCCTCTTCCTTCCTTCCCTGTCAACACGTGGGTCTTGGGGGGACACTAGCAGGGCTCCCCGCCGCAGGGCTCTGAGCTGCTCTAGACTGCAGGTTCTCACTGGAGCACCAGCCCGACTGAACAAACCCCGACTCAGCTGAGAAATCTCTCGGGGTCTGTGACGCCAGGATGGCCACCGCCTCAGAGAACTTCCAGAGGTTTCTCTGCACCCAAGGAGGAGCGCGTACTTCCTCTGGCCCTTCCGCGGCCGGTCACTTCTCTCCAGTCTATCCTTCAGGTGTTTTTTGTTGTTGTTTTATTTTCAGATTTTCGCCTTAGGACACGTGTACTCTCTGGACAGAAAGAGAGAGAGAGAGAGAGAAAGTGAGAAATCACCACCACCACCCCCAGGGGAATGTCCACACCGCAATCCCTTCTTCTCCATTCTCCTCCCGGAATCTTGGGCATGAACACACACGCACCTGGCATGATTTTCAAGTCACCAGATCTGGGATCCAAACCACAGTTGGCCATGTGGGGGTCCAGCGATGTAACCATTGTGCCATCTGCTGCCCCCCTGGGTTTAAATGTTTAGTCTCTCATGCATTGACCATGTCATTCGTTAGGTTTCTTACGTGGATGGTAAAGCAATCTCCCACACGGAGGGGGCAGAGGGACTGGGCTGCTTAAGA